ATGACAGTATACAAATATTAATAAACAAAATTGTTTTATATGAATAACTGAATAATTTATGACAAAATTACCATAATATAGTAGAATAACATATTATTTAATGCTGTAAGAGTAAAATTATTTTGATTTATTTATTTATTTTTTTTAAAAAAGGTCTCGACAATATTGATCGTAAATCGTATTTTACATAATGATTTTTAGCACATTATGGTAGGTATACAAATTGTTTGATGGATCGGAGAAAAAGACAACAAAAACAAATAAAATGTAAACAAAAAATGAAAAAATAAAATATAATAAATAAAAAATATAGATATGTAAATTTTATTAGGTGCTGAAGATTTTAACTATCCTAAGAACTTAACTTATGTATAAATATATAAATATGTATTTTTTCTATGCTGTAACAGTTAAAAAGATATTGATTTTCAATCTTATCCCAAAATAATAACTAATTAATAATGAGTCATTAGTCATTAGTAATGAAAAATAGCTAATATTATTTTCCAAATGTCAAATTTGGGTATTGCAAATTATTTACATTTGCATTTACGTTCCTTCACCGTTATTTAGTTGTTTTTCATAATTGGCTCGAATACTTAAAATGTAAAAAATAAGTTATATTTAATTTAAATTACCTAATGATTTTAAGTTTCAATTATTTTAAGATTTAAAAGTGAATACACAATAAATAAATTATGCTTCGATTGTAAAAATGTTTCTAAAATATTATGAATGCTAAAACGTCCAACTAAAAAAATTTAATACTAAATAAAGGATGAATTATAGTTTTATTTAAAACCGATTATTTTGATTTTCAAATAAAAAAAAAAAAAAAAAAATTAATAAACAAATAGATGTTTAATTAATATTTGAATCATTTATATATTTAGTTTAGTAATTTAGAGTGCGTAGTATAATTGGGTATGGAATAACCAGACGAAAGACATGTATTTTTCAAATTGATACTAACTCGTCAATATATATAACACTTGTATATCCATCATTTTGGCTTATTTATAATTTGTTCTACAATGTTATAATTTATAGTTATGTTGTAATTATTTCTCTTGTTATAACCAATATATGATTTGTGTTTGGAAAAAAATTATGGTAAGTAATTCTAGTATATTACGTAGGGGTAGTTTATTTAATATTTTACACTTCATTTATGAAACTGTAACTATATGACCAACATTTTGATGCTGTAATAATGCTTTATATAATGAATGTTATAATATAATAAATAAAAATTAAATAATAAAAAAATTAGCAGATATTTTATAACAAGGGAATAAATACAATTTCTTCTAATTCAAGCTATACATTTTTGCATCATCCAAAATTTTATCTTTAAAGCGATGAACTTTCTGATATTTTAATAATTAAATATAAAGTACAATTAAAACATTTCTGGTTTTTTTAATGTAAACCAACTTGAAGACATTATAGCCTGAAAAATATTTTATTTTTAGTGTCCTATAAAATTAACTATGAAAATTCACATAGTAAATTATAAAAAGTAATTTATAATAGTGCATACGTGTACAAAATAATAAAGATTAATTATGAGTGTATAATTTTCCATTGTTTATTCATCAATTTTAATTTTTGAAGTATATTTATTGTTTTAAATAATATTGTAAAATCGTTTTATAATTCTCTTATTAATTTTTATAAATATTAAAATATATCAAATAATGTACCTACAGTACATTCTTGTTATTTGAAATATAATATGAAGACGTTTGAACTGTTTCATTTTGGATTTAACGTATTTTATTTAGTATTATAACCAACTGTAGCAGATTTTATTTGATTTCAAACATTATTATGTTATTTTAAATTACTAGTGAATTTCTATGAATACATGTTTAATTTATTGCATTGTATACATTGTATTCTAATACATATTTGATAAAAAAATCAAAAATATTTATGTTTATTAAATGTATATACATTTTGAAAGAAAATCAAATATCTAATTATATTTTGATTTAAATTTATGAAAATGTATTTGTTAAAAATACAGCAACTTGAAAATCATAAAAATTATATAAAGCATACTTTTTTAATTTTAGTTTACTTTCGTAATGTTACAATTATTTTAAATTTAAAATATTTCACTAATTCTGAGTTATTACTTCACAACTTTATGTAGTATACATAAAATATAGCTTATTGGGGTGTACAATTATTTTTTACTGCATGTAGTAGTTTTTAGAAGATTTTTCTAAGTCTAGATAACATTTTATATTTATAAAAATATCTTCAAACACCCAGTAAGCGATGTTTGCATATTTGAATACATGGGTTGATCTTCAGTTTTTCGTTTGTAAGGGTACAAAGGCATTTTAAATATTTAACAGGGTGTAGTATGTACTAAAATTTTAATCATACACAAAACGTAATTTAAATTTTATAGAAGGTTCACTTTGAAAAAAACTAATCATTCTGTAATTACAAAAATAATATACCATAAATTTGTTTGATTGAATATTTTTGAAATAACACACGTTTAATAAAAAATGATAGGTAGTTTTCAATTAATAAACAATTATTACTCATATTTTATCCGAATAATTGATAGCAGGAAAAATTAATATCAACTAAATAATTATTTTAAACGATGAAAATCATATTTTATTATTTTAATATTCTTAGTCAATACATAATAAAAAGAAAGCATGTGGTTTTTTTAAAATATTATTTCAATTTCTATAATTTTACATGTTATATACATTTTTTTCCTCTATATTTATTGTTTATCAAGCATTACATTTTCTATTATTGTTAGTTTTGTATTGAACAGTGTTTTTGGATATGAAAATGTAGACGATATATACTAAAGTTTATAAAACCATTTTGACAAAAAAAAACGTTTCTATTGTATAAATCTATTGAATCAAGCAGATCATGAAAGTTTTTACAAGTCATGTAGAAGATTATTGTTCACCACGTCAATAAGTTTACAAAGTCGAATTGACTTTTAGATTTTGAGTAAGCCCCGTGGTCAAACAATATTATATTTAAATAATTTTGTTTTAAGAAAACATTATTTTTAAAATATATGATTTATTAATTGAATTTATTGCTTAACGTTTATTTTATTGTATCGAAATCTTCAAATCTTGATATATACTTTTACGAACATTTTTTTGCGCCCAACACTAGTATAGTTAACCAAGTCTACCAACTAGACTTATAAAACATGTAAAATATACATGCGTAAAAATGTAAACTATACCATATTTGTGATCTTATAGAATAGTCATGTTCGCTATAATTCGATTGATGTAAATTCATTAATATCTATTTAGACTCAACTGCGTGTATATACAATGAAACAGTGGTGCGCTGAACTAATTTTTGATGGGAGCAATAATGTATACAAGGAGGACCACCCACCAAGCAAATTTTTGATGGAAAAATTGCTCCAAAATAATATTTTTGCCACATCACTATAATGAACTAAAATGATGTTGTATAATAACAATATCTAGTAGACCATATTGATCATATTGCAAGTATAGTCTAAAAATAAATGATACATTTTTTTTCTCCTCGGAAGAAATGTCACCGACAAAAAAAAAATTTTATCATGTGATTTTCATTTTGGTTATTTTAATATTACGTATACATACTTATATACATTATATACATATAACCATGAGTGTTAATGTATAAACAATAACTGTAATAGTAATAATAAATCATCGGAACCAAGATATTATGCACGACGATGATTAATACCTTTCGTGAATAACCGGGCTACAGATGAGAGTGGACGAGCGATAGTTTGAGAGTGAGCTTATTTTATCCGCTTTCTCTCTCCCCCTAATAATTCATCAATATTTTATTTCCAACTCATCTGAGATGCAAACAATAACAAAAGAGACGAGAACGAGAACTGCAAAAAACAATAATGTGACCCATTATAATAATAATAAATCATTGAAAAAATAAATATACGCGTGATTACACAGCTTGTATTTTTGAATTAATATTGTATACGTTATCCAGGTACAGCTAAAGGTGCACAAGGTGTCGATCGAAAAATGTTGATGGTACCGGGCCCGAATCAGCTCGCAATCAACACATATTATGCTATATATTTTTTGAAATTTTAAATGTTCAAATGGATATAATTTCAAAATTATTTCATTAGTTTTATATAATAATAATTAAGAACAACAGTTCTGGTATAAAATTAGAAAGTAGATAAATCGGTAACAGTAACAACTGTTAAAAGCTTATTTTCTAACGACCACTTTATGTTGTATTTACGGTTTAATAATTGTATACAAAAAATATTGTACTCGTACATTATGATTATATTAATCTGATCACACAATTATAAATGTACCGATCATCAAGGTTGGACTGAAAAAATTGCTATTCCTAAACGAGCGAACGTAAGGTAATAAAAATAAATAAAATAGAAAATATAAAGTTTACTTGATGAATATTATTATGCTAAAAAATTACAAGAACTTCAATTATGATTGAAAACATTTTTTTCCATTCATAAAAAATGTTTTTTCCAAACCTCCTATAGTTACTTTATGGGATAAATACTTGCACGGGCAAGTGGTATAAGGTTTACTACCTTATTCCACTTCCCCGTGTAAGTATTTTAAAAAGAGAATATATTTGTTATTAATAAAAAAATAAAATTAAATACATTTTTAAGGGCTCTCTAAGGCTCAGGTCTGTATAATATGACTTAATCCACGGTACGTGTATAACGGTCAGGCACAACTCGAAAACCTGTAAAATATTTTGCACCTCGAATCCGACACAACAACGTAAATGCATTCACGCACATTGCACACACGCGCGCGCGCGCGGGCGCACACACACACACACAAACACACACATACACACACACATACACACGTCATAAGTGTAGTAGTGGTAGTAGTAGTAGTAGTGGTAGTTGGTAAACTCGCGTGGTTTTACGCTACATATTATCGCGGAGAGACGACAGCGTGCTCTTCAGTTTTGTGTTAGTCCGTGTTGAACTGCGTGCGCGGTGTCATCTGTGCGCGTATCTCACCTGTTATTTGCGGCACAATAATTTATGTTCTTCTTAATTCTTCTTCTTATTATTATTACTTTTGTTATTATCGCGTCGGATATCATTATCGACGTCACGTCACGTGAGATATAACAACAGCCCGTCACCTAATAGTGTTGCACGAGGCGTTGGGTTTGTGTTCGCGATCGTTGCCGAAAGATTTCTCCCGCGTCGACGGCGGCACGCACGAACACAATTCAGAATTATAATAATAAATCGTTGTAACCGGAATAAATTGAATCGGTAAACATAATAAACAGTAACAATAAGAACCGTACAGGTATCGGTACCGTTCGAGTCGTTAATCTCGTCGATCGTTGTTTTTCTCTCGTGCTCTTTCCCATCCCCTGTGACTCCGCGATTGTCGATCGTACGCGTGTTCGGATTCATAAAGCAGTAGAGGTACTACACGCACGATGAACGGACACGATCACACCGTGTGCCACGCGCCCACGTCGTAAATCTCGTGTGCGGGTATTCTGCGGTTCTTCGAGGACCGCGCTCCATCGTAACGGTAGCGCACCACCAGTGCACCACCAATAGTGTATCAACACCACCTGTGTACAACATTCCATTCGTCCGGTTGTCGAGTACCGCCGCAACATGGAAACGGTGTTCTCGTCCAGTAACGGTGAACGCGCGGACGCCCCCATGGTCACCGTCACCACCACCACCACCGCCGGCAACGCCAACGCCAACGCCGCAACGGTGCTGGACACCGCTGAACCGCGGAAATTGCGCGACCGAAACGTCAGGGTAAGACGAAATCAAGTCGTTACGTACTGCGCTGCTGCGACGATGGTGGCGGCCGGTGACATTATTTTTATAACGTTTTTATTAAATCGGCTCGTTCTATGTATAGACTAGCCGTCGCACGGCCGACGGACAACGGTCGATTTCAGACGCGTTCCGTCGGTTTGGCGAGACGCGAAGGCCTCGTCGTACGCGGTGGCGGCGGCCCTGCGCTCACCGTGTTCGAAAGCACCGGGATGTAATGATCGTCGCGTGTCCCCGAGCGCCGACGATGTGTGTTCGCACGCGCGTCACGTTTTCGCGATGCACCCGACACCAACGTGCACGCACAATATTTCCGCGACCCGTTACCGCCGTCGACGGCAGGTGCGCCGTCTGGTTGGCACGCGAAAAAAACATCGCGTTCAGACGGACCGTCGAGTTCTAGCTCGATTGTTACTTGTTCGCTTGTTTCGTCGTTGTCGTTACAGTAGACAATCGAAATAATCGGTTCCTCGGATCAATTCGTGGCCGTCTACGGTGTACAAACAAATGTCCTAAACCGCCCCTTCCAAATTTAATATACGAGCTTTGTCAATCATCAAAAATGTTATCGACATTTTTTTTGGTTATTGTTTAAAACATGTCTATTTATGTTATGTTCATATTATATGAAATCGATGAAATAATTATGGTATAAAAAACTGTATTTTTCCGTTGTAAACATCTCAATTATTGTGTTTACATAAATTGTTTTAAAAATGTTTTCACATCCTAACCTTGAGAAAAATATATATAAGAAATATTTTCCTTCATTAGTATCATAATCATTACTACGAATCATATAGGTACTTCCTTCTATTCGTTTTTAGTTTATTAAAAATTAAGATTTATTATCTACATTTTATATTAAAATACTCGATCGATTCATAGAAAATAGGTTCTAATAGAAGTTATTCCTAAAAAATAAAATTTACTTATTATGTTATTAAAAGAGCACACAACACAAAACAATAGTTTTTTCCTTTTTGAAAGTATGTCCAATTCTAAGAATAATGGTATAGGTTTTACTACCCACATTATTTAATAAATTATTTGTAATTGAAAAAATACGCGAGACGTCAATGTCGTATTTTCGTTCATCGAAATGTATAGGTACGCTAAATCAGCGTTTCCCAACCTATGGGTCGTAACTCAACATTGGGTGGCAAAATATTTTTGATGGGTTCGTAAATATATGATAAGAAAAATATCTTACTTATCAAAATATAGTTTTTTGTATTATAATTCAGTTTTGCAGTATATGATAAAATCCCTTATAGTAAAATTATCAATAAGCGTGTGAGAGTTTTTTTTTTTTTTTAAGAGCCGTCTACTCAAAATAAAATACATTTATGAGTCGCTTAAGCACAAAGGTTGGAAAACACTGCGCTAAATTATCACAGCATGCTTTAAGAACAACGCTTAAATGTCGTAGAACCTTTGTTGTTACACATAGCCGTAGATTATACCAGTGATCGTCGTTGGTAATAAAAACATTCAAATTTACCTTTATTTTTAATTTGAAACCGTTATGTAATTTAACACTTCAATACCAATTACCGTGATTAGTAAATCCTCGGGGAACATTGTACACAAGTTGTATGACGAACGATGTGTATATTAATATAACTGTACGTTTCATATTGATTACGGAAATGGCGAATTTTAAGAAACACACGTATCGAGTTTGCCGTATTAACGTTTAAAAAAAAATATAACAATATAATATACATTTTCTAAAACTTGGATAAACTATAAAAATTCGAAATTATTTTTACGTAGCAAAAAACACGATAGCGAAACGTTAAAATGTTATTGTGTTCAACTGCTGTTATTATGGTCTGTCGTCAATGGACTGTGATCGACTCATAGGAATTCTCAGGTCAGAATCACATTTTTCCCGCCTCAAAATCGTGTATACACGTACGAGTATAACTGTAGTTTAATACATTTTTTCATTTTTGTGTTCATAAACATTTATTGCTTTCCACAGATTTAGTAAACTGTTATTGACATTTTTTTTTATCATGTAGATTAAATAGTTGACCAAACACCAATTAAAATTGAATCTTTTTAAATCACATTATTGTTATTAGATTGATTAAATGATGCATCATGGGTATATTATTTATTATATAATTTCAACAAATTGGTGAATCTTAGAACATTTATTTTTGAAATGACGCAGTAGTAATGGAAATTTAATTATTTCTTATCCTACATAGATACCCTTTGTTAATTGTCATAATAATTAATTTATTAATTTATTTAAAATACATCATTGTTATCCAACTAAATATAATTATAATAACAATAATACTACGTACAAATAATAATTATACTTAATTACAAAAAAAAGATGAAAAATATTTCAAATATAGTAAATGAATACATTACAAATGTAGGTTAGGTTTTAATAGATAAATGACATAATACCTATAGAATATTATAAGATCATAAAAAATCAAACATCATCTAGCTTTATGACAAGCAGCATGTATTCCTTTGATGTACCATTAAAATATCAAAAACATATACACAGCTGTATCTAATCTTTTTAACGTTTTTTTTGATTTTTATCGTAATTAGTAACTATGGTATAATTTTTAGTGTTCTTGATTGTTGACAGCTCTTAATGCCCTATATTTTATATTATACTTACAACCTGTCTAATATTGTACTAATTTTCACCACTTTTTTTTCATATTTACTATAATATTGATAATATACATTGTTTAATATTTAAATGTACTATTATTCCACAACAAATATTATACTGAACAAATAATAAATGTAATATATTATATTCTACATATATTTAAATGGACAATTTATTAAAAATTATATTAGGTAACTACTGATACAACAACAAAATTTGTTGACAATATTTAATTTTGTCTCGTACTCATAATTTTATTTTGGAAATTGAAAAGTAGAAACAAATATTTTCTATCTTTACTGTATATTTGAAAAAAAAAAATTAAAAAATATTGATTTTTTTTAAAAGTACTTCTAGTATAGTGAAATATACATAAAACTTAACACAAATGATAACAACTAAAAACATAGCAATAATTTAAATATATCTGAAACCATACTAGACAGTATGTATTAGGCGTGCCTAACCTTTTTCAACTTGCGGGCCACATTCAAAATATATATTTATACTGCGGGCCGTATATACCGGTTCATTTCAATAAAATATACTATACATTTATTCAGAGATACGCTCCCAAAATGTAGTTTGGGGTAGGGAAATAAAATTGTATTGAATATTAGCACTACATATTTAATCTACCAAAAAAATTTCATTTTGTAATTAAGTTAAAAATCTCAGGGGCTATGGCCCTCTCCTCATCCATGTATTATAGTATACAATATTATCTTTAATCATTAATTGAATTTATAAATCTTATACTGTATGTTTAAAGTACTGTATGTTTATACAGTACTTTAAACTTTATACTGTATGTTCAAAGTACTAAATATTTTTTACGCTAGTCGCTAGTTTGTTAACAAATGTAAAACTTGTGCATATCGATTTCTTAAGTTTATGTTGAAATAATTAATACAGTAAGATATAGGTATATTATATTTAAATTAAACTAGTCTTGCATAAGTGAAAAAAATGTTAAACGAGTATTGAAATGTTTACAGATTTAAATTATGACCCTATATTAGACATACACATTGCACAGTCATTTGCATTGTCAATTACCTTGTAACATTATGGTGACATCTAATATATTACTCTAAAAATTGAGAAAAATTTGAGAAAAAGTCAATACTAGAATAATACGAAAACTAATTAAAAAATTAATAATTTTATACATATAATTTTTCTTGTACCTGCAGCAACTTAAATGCTGAAATATATGGTGATCTTAAAAATTAAAAATAATGTTATAATAACAATAATAATACTAATAATAATAATAATTGATTAATTTTAACAAGCTTTTCATTTCACTTTTACATAATTTCTGTAAAAATGTATTTTTTGTACTATGTGTTAAAATTTTATTATTATTATAACTTTGATTGAATTCTTTGCTTAAGCACATACGGTCGTGTGGCATGTCTACTTGATTATGTACTATTCGTGAATAACTTTTTTTTTATGTATACGTGATATATGATATTGCCACCGAGAGTAAACGATATCCCCCAATGGGTTCATACAGAAAAATGTAAGTTTACTTATAGATAAATAATTAAACAGATTTATTTGCTCTTACCATTTTGCAGTCTGAATATATGAATGCAAATCGTAATAATGTATTCGACATACTCAAAAAATTATCTTTACTCGTCAAGCCTTGAAGAAACTTTATATTGAGTAATATTAATAAATGTTTTTTTATAAGTTCAAATAATTTTTCAAAACAAATTATTATAATACTCAAATTTTGTTAATATGGGAATATTTTTTAAAATTATCTAAATTAATCTTGCAGATAGTATTATAGTTCATAAACGTTTAACTATCACACGTGTTAATAATTTAAATAATTTAAATTATAATAATAATTTTCAATAATATGTTATATTAATTATTAGTGGCGTACTTGTCGCATTACATTCAATTTTTTTCTAGGGGAAAAAGTATTAAATTGTAAACTTAGTTTTTATGCTAATATCAATTGTCTATTTTTATACCTTCTCGGAAAAAATAACGTTTTCGTGATTCCATCATAATTGACGAATAGGTACTACATTTTATACAACGTTAAAATATTTATGATGTATTTATTTTTAATTCTAACCATTTCAAAACGGATTTTTTTTTTTAGTTATTTTTACACCACTTCATATTATTGTTTTTGAAATATAATTATAAATACAATTTATTTAAATATATTCGAATATTAATGATTTGTTATTTGTTAAAATTGTTGTACCAAATGTTTTAGATTGACATCAACAATATTATGTATTTATTTTTTTCAGGAAAAATGTATTTGGAATGTCAAACATAGACCTTTGGTGTTTCTGTTGATTTTAATATTGATATCTTCGATAATCTGTGCATTAATTTATTCCGAAACCAACACATTCTACAAGCCTGAAGCTAGAACACTGGCACCTTTAGAGTTTCAAAATCTTATGAAAGGTGACTACGAGCCTAATCGATTCAACGGAACATGGATTTCAGGTACACTGTCAATTATTTCGTCTTTATTATGTATCTGATACCATTAATTACATGCCATTGTACAAACATATGTATACTCATCAATAATTGTTATACTGCCTACTATTAAAATGGCGTAACTTATTACATGTTTTTATTTATGTTTTTTTATTATAGATGATGAAATATTGATGAAAGACGCTTATAAGAATATTGTATTGTTCAATGTGAATAGTTCAGACATAACTGTATTAGCCAATAATTTGACTCGAGTAATACTTAGATTGTTTTTCTATTTTTTACTAATATTTATTGTATACTTAAACATTCTTACTATGTACGTATTTTTTAGAATATTGATAAAGTTTTTCAGTACGATTTATCTGCTGACAAAGAATATCTCCTTTTGGCTTATCACTATAGAAAGGTAAAATCAAACTATTAAGTATTAAACTTGTGTGAAATTTATTATTATTTTTTTTTTTAAAAATATGAAGTGATATGAAGTAATATTATGTGATTTTTAATACAATGTTATTATTATGTGTATTTAGGTTTATAGACATTCGTTCATAGCTCACTACGATTGTATTGTAATTAAGACAGGGTGAGTAAATTAAAATGGATTATGTTTAGTCGCTTGTACGTGTATAGATAGATTACAATTTAATATATCTCTTAAATAAATTTTCTTTGTTCATTAATATGTTTGATTATGTGGGTCTTTAACGCTAATATAATAAAATATTTTCAATAGAAAATTAAAAATCATATTAGGAACATATTATATTATATTATATTTTAGATTATTAAAAAGTATAATCAAAAATCAATTAATTTTTGATTACCTATCGTCTACTGAATAACTAGAGAGAAATAATTAGTTAACCATTTTTTTTTTTTTTGCTTACTACGTTTTATCGGAAATCGAATTATTTATAAAATATTACTAATAATGTAACATCAGTATAGATTCTTATATATTCCATCGTTCAACATTTTTAAATCTTAACCTCTGTACAATGTAAATCCTCCTGTACATGTGAAAAACATACATCCACAAATTTGTTAATATTTTATGATTCAGAATTAAATAATACATTCTATACTGTATATAAATATATAATTTTATGCACATAGTAATTAATGTACAGTAAAAATGTCAATGATATTATTGAAGATCAAAGAAATACAGTGTTAGTTGTAACAATATTATAATTTGCATACTAATTTATATGCATATATGTTACATTACAATACTAAGAGATCTGACATTTTTTAAAGGGTTATAATTTCCAACAAATAATTTATGTGTACAGGGATATTTTATGAGTTTTATCTTAGGCATCTACATAAGTTAATATCTTATCGCAAAAATATAATACATTTTTCTTTATAAGATTATAATTGTATAATTAAACTACACATTTTAAAATATTTTATATATAATACATATATATAATATATAGACAATTAATTATAATAAAAATGGTATTAATGTTTAATACTTAAATGTTTTTTTAGAAATTTTTTTTTTGCTCTAATTATTAAAAATTGTTATGTTCGGTAGGTGATTTTAGATTAAAGCATAATCAATCAATTTAACTGATATCAATCGTAATTTTTAATGAAAATCGAATAAGAAAATAACATACAATTATATCATACACCATAATATAATTTAATTATTTTTTAGTTGTTTAACATTTATTTACTTATGGAACTCATGATACAATGATTTTTCTAGAGAACAATTCACTTTGCAAACTAATGGACAACCCTGGAATTTACAGTTGGCTAAGTGGTCGCCCACTGGTCACGGTTTAGCGATTGTAGAGCTGAACGAAGTATATTACATACACGATGTGTCTAATTTTACTAATATGTTGCAATTTTCAATCACTGGTAGTTTTGGATCGTACAATGGCATTCCTGACTGGGTATATGAGGGTGAGTGCATTATTTCTATGTATTTAATTTACATTTTTTTTTTTTTTTTTACAAAGATATTATGATCTTTATAGTTTAAGATGAATTATGAATAAGTAGTCTCAAATTATATTTAAAATTTTGAAAAAATTGAGTAGCAATGACATTTTGATACAATACAGTTATTAACTCAAAGTATGTAGGCATTTTTAAGACTGTACAGTGTACGATACCTAGATATAATAGATTATCAGATTGCAAAGTTAAAATTTGCTCTGTTTTATTTTAAATAGATGATTTCTTATTTCATAGTCCCCAGAATTTAACTTTGAATTGGGTACGGGTAATGATTCAGATAAGTCATCGCCTCATAACAAATATTTTTACGTAATACGAGCGTATGAACGGCAGAGCTATAAAATAATAGACAGCTTAATATTGAAACGATATGTGTGTTAATATTAAGTTGTTATTTCATTGTTACTAAACTTTATTGTATTTAAATATTATATTTTAATCTTTAAGTATAAAATTATTAATACACATTTAAATTAATTTATTATTCTGTTCGAAGAGGAAATTTTTAGTTCAAATAGTGCCATGTGGTTTTCTAAACAAGGAAGTTATATAGCGTACGCATCATTCAACGATACCCAAGTACCAACGATGCAAATACCTTTATATGGTGTACCGGGTAATCTAAAATATCAGTACACTAAAATTGTTGGTGTTCATTACCCAAAAGTGAGATTTAATTTTTTCAATAAATGTATTGAAACACAATGAAAATATGCTTTTTTTAGGTCGGTGTTCCTAACCCAATTGTACAATTGTTCGTTGAAAGTATTAAAAAGTCAATATCTAAACCTATACCTGTTGATCCACCAACCGAATTGACGTGAGTTATATATAATATATTATCATAATTAATTAACAAATAACCTAGTTTAACTGGACTTATCTGTTTTTCATGGTGTAAATTATATTAGTTTCAAAAAGTGGGTACATATTGTTTTAACTATTCGACCATTTATTTGAGCAGTTGTATATATTATAAACAAATGTATCTATTGTACAGTAGATAAATAGCCTTATTTTCGAATAATTTTTAAATTAATACGCGAATGAGTGTTTTTAGTTTTATAAAATAGACATTTGTATGCACATTTATACATTTATATGATAATGAATACGGACTACATCAATGCAATTCATACGCAATTGTGTGTGTATATATATATATATATATATATATATATATATATATATATTTCCAACTAAAGAAGAGTCAGTTTTTTGTCTAAAAGTACCTAAAGTAAATTAATATTGCTCGTTTAAAATGAATGTATGTATACATTTACATATACCTATTTGTTACTATTAGTATATACTCGGTTAAAAAAAAATTCAGTTCTTGGAAAAAGAAAACTTTTTTTTTCCATCCTTATTTTACCTTTAGCCTAAATTACACAATTTAAGTGTACGCTTAATATTAAGGTTATATATAGGAGTAAAGTTTTTATGATGTGATTTGCAATATTATACATTTTTTTAGTAAAAACATTTCTTTCTGGGCAAAAACAAGAATGGAATGATTATAATCGATATAGTACTGGATGTTATTTATCAAAAATAGATTTTTAAAAAATCGGTGTCCCACAATAATACTTTTTAACGTTATAATACATAAAATAAAATATCTCTAGATTATAATTATTCCAATCAATGAAGCTTATAAGAATGATAAAAGAAAATACAGTACAATTTTAAAATAAAAACAAATTAAAATGTATTTAAAGCCTAATAATTATATGGGTGGTTAATAGATTCTAATGAGTAACCACTACACTCATCATCACTGTTGTTTAATAAGTTTGAAAACTATATTTTTTGAGATAACTAATTTTATCTTTTGGAAAAAAACGTTGTTAAAATTAAATTATTCATTTTTATTGTAGCTCGGTCAGTACAGATATTATTTTGAATACCGTTGTATGGTCGGATGATACAAATTTATTTGTTATATGGATGAATCGAGTGCAAAATACTTCATATTTAGTGCATTATTTAGTGACTGAAGATTTTGCTGAAAACAAAATGGTGAGTTAAAAATTAAAATAAAAAAAGCCCTTGTAAATATATTGAAATCTTATATCCGTATGGTGTGTAACGTTTTTATATCTTCGATAAAATGTGAATAGGATAACATGATTTCCTATATATTAAGTTAAGAACGTCAAAATGTATATTATTATAAAAAAAATATATTTAATTATGTAGGTTGTGACATTCAGTCAACGTGGTGGTTGGTTAGATTTTACACAAATACCATTGGTCGACGACAAAAATCGTCTGGCTATAATATATCCTGTACAACAATTCGATGGAGATATGTTTAAGCACATCGTAATAGTGGAATCTGATAGCCATTTAGTACCGCTGACGAGTGGAAAATTCGAAGTCATTGAACTGCTAAAATGGGACATCCAATCTAATTACATGTAAATGATTCATATTATTTACACAGAAAACTTGAGTGTATTGTTGGTTTTATGTACCTAGATATTATTTGGCTAACAAAGAGGAGAACCCCGAGGAACAGTATTTATATCGAACGCAGGTCAAAGAAAATAGCATTCCGGAGTGCTTGTCATGTAAGGAAAGCTGTAAATTTAGCAAAGCAGAGATGAGCACTGAAAATAGTCATTACGCACTTCTATGTCTTGGACCAAACATACCGGAAGTCAAAATATTTAAAACGGTATTTAATAAAATATTATTAACAGAGCCAGCGCGAGGGGATGGGCAATAGGGGCAGTTGCCCAGGGCCCCGCGTCTTAAATTATAATTAAGGCCCCGCGATTCTGATTTAACTGAACTTAAAATATTTTATTAATATAAATTATAAGACCCAACATTAATTTTGCCCAGGGCCTCGCAAACTCTAGCACCGTCACTGATTATCAATAAACTGTATAAATCGTGTTTTGTAAACAAACTTTATGAACAAATCAAAGTGAACACACTCGGTGATCTTGTCACATTTAAATCTACTATATTTACTACTATATTTAAATATACCTTTCATAATAAACGCCAATCTATACAATTTACACATTAATCGTTATGTTCACTTTTCATTCATATCTATACACTTTCATTTTGTTTCTTGCATTATTTGTATTTTAATATACCATAATGTAAGTAAAAAATTATTGGATTTCCAATTCATCTTTTAGACAAATATTTATTTATTTATTTATTTTATAAAAAAACGTAAAGTGGGTTAACTGCAACAAAATTTTGAATAGTTCGACTTAAACTGTTAATTTCTCCTGAAATAATTATCTTAAAAATATGATGATTATTGCAATGTTCTGATATAGAACTATTATATCTAAATACACTGTCAAAATTGTGTGAAATATTTTTACGATTGAAAATTAAAAAAAAAAAACAGAAAGCGCACTTGCCCCTTGAAAAGTTCAAAATGGACTGTTTAAAAATACTAATATCACTGTTTTTAAACTTGGGATTAACGCCGTAAACTAAATATTTGTAGCTATAATACTACGTTTTACAAGCTGTATTTGTTCAAATAATTTAGAAATTACAGCTATTGTAATAATTTAAAATATATTATTACTATACATTTTTTTCATATCCTAAAAACTATTAAAAGCATATTTTTATGTACCTATGTAAAAAACAAAAAGTGAACAAATTTCACACTTAAAAATAAATAATAATAAAATATGAAAAACTTAATTAATAATTTTATACAAATCAAATACTTTTAAGTAACTACTTAAAAAAAATGTTAAGCTCAAGTAATTAAAATAATTAATATTAATTTTTAAAAGATGCAACTGTAGCATGTTATATTTCACTTACCCAATGACGGATTAACCATTAGGCTCGTGAGGCTCGAGCCTAGGGTGGCAATTTGTAGGGGGTGGCAAATTTTGTATGTATTATTTTTTTTATCTCAAACAAAAATGAAAAAAAAATAATGACATTCAAAAACTCATTAATTTTGGTATCAGAAAATTCGAAATTTAATAATTTAAATCCCTGGTGGGAGTCTATTCTTGAAACATCGATTTGCGTGAACGACCGCAGCAGTTCGAAAACACGTAATGACAAACCGCCCGATGAGAAATTATTGGCCACTTGTTTTTAGTTATAACTTGAATTATTATGCATTACGCGTAACGCATGAGAAATACGCGGCCACTAAAGAATAAGCCAAAATCGTCGAATTTTTCTCACTAATGAGACGACTGAGAATATTAAACATTGATATATAAACTGATTGACAGTAATATTGTAGGCGAGTTCGCGAGTAAATATGAATCGACGAAAAGATAATTATTTTCAACCCATATAATACAATATACGTATATACTAATTGACACAGTGACGGTCGTAATCGTAATGATTTTATTTGAGTTTATTATTATGACTATAAATTGATTGTGTTTAAACACATAAGTACCCATCATATTATTATTATTTTTCAATTTATTTTACTGTGAACATCTAAACACAATGGTCACCCTCATCTTTTGTAGTTTTGTATACCTACTAAAGATAGTGGTTGTTTCTTTGCAGCGTAGTTTGAACAATCACAATTACAACTTTATTTCTTCGAGGTCTATTAAATTATTTATCAGTATATATTATAATATTATTGTAATCAACCTATATTGTATTGTACTTATTAGGTACCTATAAGTACTTTTACTTATTAAAATAAAATATATATTATAAAAATAATAATGTATATTATATATTTTACAGCGTATTTTTACGTAGGCAGTGGCATATAAATGAGGGAGGAGTTCGGGATAATTCCCTCCCCCTCTAGGACAAAAAAAAAAAATATTGTCCAGTTTTGAAATTATTAGAATAATAAAATGAAAAATATATACGTCACGAAAATAACACATAATATGAATAATATATTATAAAATCTAGTAGTCATCAATTCATGGGCGTATTTTAGGGGCGATCACATTCCTGAATCCGTATTTAAGGAAATGATTACATGTGAGATACACATTTCAAATTTTTTTAATGTGGATCATTTTATAACGAAATCAAATTACGCGTGGTTATGAATACTGAATTGGGCTTTTAGTCGGGTCCATATTTGGTGAAAAATCAAATGAAACACAAGCGTAACATTCTAAACACAGATGTTAAAAAAGAATTATAAAATATTCAATTTTAAATAGATCCGGCATTTGATTAAAAACAAAAAGTCACAAATATTAAGGATTCACCTGATTTAAATATTATCAAACATTATACTTGTACATTTTGAACCTGAATTAAAGAAAAAATTTGATTCGCCCTCCCCCCTAGAAGTAAGTCTATATACGTCTCTGCATCCTGTGTTTATTTCAGGCCTATCCCGGGGGGGGGGTATCGTAAATTTCCAAGGGGGTATGCTTTAGAAGTAAAAAATTAAGGGAAGTAAAAGTATCGTTTTAAGCTCAATTTATAGGTATTAGATAGATACCTACGAATTCGTAGATTCTTAAAAATCTAACTTTGTAATTATATGTATACAATATTTGAATTAAAGTGTGGAGTATTAATTATTCAACCATAATACCTTTGAACCATTTCTCACTCCCGGGACGGCTATACCCGATTACCGATTTTTGGGTTATTACCAATGGCTTAAACTGGGCGGTGCAAATGTGGCACTTGCAACACCACATCTAGAATGTGGTTGAGTAAAGATATGTTTTCGCACCACCAGAAAATTATTGAAATTTGTATAGGTATCTATAATATTATTTTCAAGAGCCAAGGAAATCAGCATTTAAAAAAAAAAAAATTTGATTGTTGTTTTTAATGGTAATATATAAATAAAGGTTTTACTGCAAAAATAATTTAAAATTTATTTGTTATTTAAAGAAATATATGGGAAAATATTTAGTTTATTAGAAAGGATTTTACTTAGGAAATTGGAAAATTGGTGTGTTAGAAATTATAAGTTGATAATATGTCCCTGCACCATCAGAAATTGGATTTAATTTATGCCACTGGTTGTTACAGTACTTAGAAAAAGGGGCGGTAATAATTGAGCGAGCCTAAGAGCGCCGAGAAGGTTAATCCGCCACTGCACTTACCCATAAACGAATTTACTCCGTTGGTCATATTACACGGGTAAAGAGCATAATCCGAATTAACGAATATTAACTTTATATTAAAGACGTAAATACATCTAAAAACTTAAACCACACATAAAATTACATAACTTATTTTAAATAGTATTCTCCAAAATAAATTTGAATCGCCCAAAAAAATAATTGATAACAAGTCTGCTTTTCAAAATGGGATTTCAATTGTTGACATTAACTCTAATAACACGAAAACGGATAAACGTACTGTGTTGCAAACTAGATATTTAAACTCCCACTATATTGTAGATTAATTTTCATTATTGATATGAGTGATAGAATTTATTTTTCTCACCATAATATTAGAAATCACAACTATCCCAGTTAGGAACTTACTCCTCTTCACCTTATTTAAATTGTGATAAATATTAGTTGAACAAAATTAAAATATTTATGATTTTTAAATTATTATTTAGTTACTCCGACGCGATTTTATCATATTTTATATTTGAAATTTTTGAAATTTAAAGACTGGAGAAAAAATACTGGATTGGGAAATGAACACGGAAGTTAAATATATGTTATCCACTATATCACTTCCACGGATATCTTTCATCGACGTACCAATTGCGGGTACTAAATTCAGCGCTCGTGTTAGACTCATTATACCACCATCTCTCGATCAAATCTCGGATGTAAAATATCCAATGCTGGTCAACACGTAAGTGTTCAATTATTTGTACAATATTGACTAGGTCGCAGATTTGAAATAAACGAATTGTTTTCCAGTTATGCCGGACCCGGATCAAATTTAGCGTTGAACAAGTTTGCAGTAGAATGGAACACATACTTTAGTTCAAGTAATAATGTAGTCATAGCTCAAATTGATGGCCGTGGATCAGGGAGGAAGGGCAATAACATGTTATTCGCTAACTACAGAAAATTGGGTACATATGAAATCGAGGATCAGATATACGTTGCAAGGTAAATAGTTTTTTTCTTATACACTTGTTAACAAGGATTTATGAAAAATCTCGAATTAGTTATTGTTTAAATTTAAAAAAAAACATTATTCCTGATCAACAATGTAAAAAACATTAACGAATTAATAGGAGAACATAATATTTTTTATAAAATATACAATCTTATACTAAGTTGTTTATTCTTTTCCATCGCGTTAATCGTTGTCACATGATCCGTCTTCCTATACTTAAATATTACAATAAGTATTAGTTACATAATCGATAAATCCTCCGTGCACAAATTTGTCCTTCCTATAATCAATATGAAAGGAGATGAACAACTAGTAAATACTCCCGGGGTGGATCTAGATATTTGGGAGGGGGGTTTAATAATTTTCACTTAATAGGGAAATACAATAATCAATATACATCCGTAATCTTATTCGCGACCGCAATGGTTTTTATAATAAAATAATCTCTATGGAAGTTCATGAAATTTAACTTAACTTGTATTAAATGTTTAAATATTTGTTAAAATTTCGTAGGGGTCTAAACACCCCCGAACCCTCCTTCGGTACGACTCTAAATACTTCGCAGTGAGTGCAAATGCAAATTTACTAAAATCTCGTTTTTTCTATTCCAAATGTTATTAGCATTTGGTGTAAACTTATACAATACAGTAATAAATAATTGGTTTACAGTTATCTTCAAGATCATTTTTCATTCATCGATAAATCAAAAACGGCTATTTGGGGCTGGAGTTATGGTGGTTACACCACCGGAATGGTGTTGACAAAAGACAATAACAATATATTCAAATGTGGACTGTCTGTTGCTCCTGTTACCGATTGGATATACTATGGTATTTACTTTTAATTATGTTTTTTTGTGCGTCGAAATAATAAAATATGTCTATACTCTTTTCAGATACGATTTATACCGAACGTTATATGGGTCTGCTCTCAGATAACATGGATAATTACAAAAATGCCAGTCTATTAACCCACGCGGAAAAATTCCGCAACAAAAAATACATGGTGATACATGGCACTTATGACGACAATGTACATTATCAACAGTCAATGATGCTTTCCTATGAATTAGAACGAAGAGTAATACTTTTCAGACAGCAAGTGAGTATAAATGTTGGAAACTGTTATTTTAATGAACTGACTAATTTTGCTAACTATAATTGGTACAACTCATCAATCAATAAATATGTGTATACTAAAGTTTTACTTATTCTATGCAGTTATTATACTTATTATAATAGTTATATCTTTAAGTATATTTAAGTTAAATTTTAATATAGGAATAGATAAATAAATAATGATGTGTTTATATTCTCTTTTACAGAGTTATCCAGATGAATCGCATGGTTTGTCAAGCGTTCGCAACCATGTATATCAAACAATTAGTGCATTTTTGTTGGATTGTTTCCACGATAAGTTGTGATCTCAAATAATCATTTTTAACAAATTTTTTTCATATTCATATTATATCACTGCTGTATTTGAATTATTAGAATATTGGTTGATCATCATAACCAATGGATAAAAACTTCAGTTTAATAATGTTTTTGTTTTTAACGAATAAATAATTACAAAATTTCTTAAGTAGAATATTTCCATTTTATTTAAATAAATTCAAAATAAAATAGCATTCCGATTATACTGCATTAACTATTAAGTTATTTACATTATTATACATAATTGTGTTAATGTTTTATGTTCATTGTATTTATGTATATGCCATTATTAAATCAACTGTTTAAATATACAAACTTGCTTTTATAAAGCGTATTAAAACATTTAAAAAAAAAATTTGAACCTCAAAATATAAGTTCCCTATCACCTTGTCTAAAATCTCACGAAGCTTATTTTTCGTCATAAATATTTATAATGCAGTTGAATATTATTCAACACTAAAATATTTTATGTACTTTTACACTAGTATTTCTATAAAATTTAAGTTTTTCTATTTTTTATGTTTCATGTTAAAAACGTATTTAATATTTTGGTATATATTTTAAATGTTAATAAGTTTCATAAGGACTTTTATCGATTTATATTGACAAAAAATAAAAAACATATGATAAAAAAACAATGGTTGTAGGCAGGGCTGCATTTAGGGGGTGCAATGGGTGCGATTGCACCGGGTGGCAGATTTCAGGGGGCAATCGTGGTCCTGGAAAAAGTGCCAATGTATAATTGTCCTAGGAGTATTTTAATTTAAACTGACGAGTTTTATATTTCGTTTTTCTTTCATTTTTTTTTTTTTTGTTATAATTGTAATTAATCATTATGCCTTTAGATTCTAATTATAATTTAGCATAGATGGATACAGATTTTTGACATGAAATTCATAATAAATATACAAAATAATATAATAACAAATAAAAACAATGATTAATAACTGGATAGTAACTAGCGATATTGTATACAATAGCTTCAAAAGAGTGGCTGTAGAGAGTTATTTAAACAACTTTTAGATCTAAAATTACCCAAGATAAGCCGAGCACTAGTATTCAATGTTCTCGATAGTGAGTAAACAGTACAATTAAATATGAATCAATAACCTTGTCTATATATATATTTAATAATTATTTTTGTGGTGCACTCGTGTACTGTACATGAGTGTTTTCAGTGATCGAACTATTTATTGTTTAATCATTATTAATTTGTTAAAGTGTAGGTAAACGTTAACTATTTTCGTACTTATTTTAATTTTTTATACCTACGTTACCTACTTATATTGTGTATTTTTATGCGTTTCTGTATTATCACTTAATTTACTATGAACCGCAAGCGATTAAGCGGTGCTGGTTATTGAAAAATATTATTATATATTCTATGTAATTATATTCCGTCACCGTTCACACCACTCCATACCTTTTCCACTTATATACCACATTCTTACACACTTATATTAAATTAGTTATTTTTTTCTAGCAAAATATTCTCTAGAAATAATTGATATGACAAAATAACGTTTGTCGATTCAGCTAGTATTAAAATATTTACATTTTAAACAGTAAAAAATATTAAAATATAGTAACTGTTAGACAAACCGAAAAATGAAAGTAATAAATCAACCTATTAAATAAACCGAATTAATAATCAGAACATAAATATATAAGGCTGTTTTTATAGGCAACATTTTTCAATCCCAAAATTATCACTAGCAACACGGTTATAGTTAGTGTGTTATGTTTGTAAATAATTCATGCTGAAAAGTATATTTGGTACAATATTAAAAAATTACTAGGTAATTTAATAATCTATAACAACTATTATAATTAACTATCAATAACACTTACCGGTTTATTAATATCTGTTGTTACTTTACTAGAACAATTCACCTTATGACATTTCCAACGTATATTTGAGATATTTATATTTAATACCGTATAATCAAAACTATTTTTGAACAATTTTGTATTAACTTAATTGTTTTGAAAACGCTCATTGTGTATAGTGTATACTCAAATTTCACCAAATTCATACTCAGTAGTTGTAAAAACAAGTACACAATTACATCCTTTTTCACACAGCAAATGTTAAATAGAGAATGTTCAGTATAAAAAGACAAAAATGTATGACATACCACATCTGAAATGGATATTAGGGAATGTGTGACAGAACGAAAAACAATAGGAGTTCACACGAGAGAATTTGAGTGTATATTGAATCCGATTACTGTATGCACCTTCACGTCAGTTTGTTTAATGAATAAATTTATTTAATTATTTAATTGTATGAATTTAGAATATTTTTGATACTGTCGCGTCCCGCGTAGTTAAATAATTACAATAACATAATAAATGAGTTCTTATGAATATCAAAACCACAACCACGGATAAGTTCAATTATTCTATTATAATTAAATATCGAATCGTAACTAGTTCACATAGTCATTGAAATAAGAAATAGTTATTCGAAACGGTAGTGACCACACCCTAGATCTCTGCATCATTAATTATCACACATACAGAATTAATAAGGAATTATCATTTTTATTATTGTTTTTCATATACACATTCACATTTGCGATTTACACATACACTTGCGTCCATCGAATATATAAGATGGAGCAACCAAGTTGGGTCCTGAATACTAGGGGCTAATCGCAGGTAGGGTACTAGTTGGGTCCCAGATTTTTATAGGTACCTGCTACACTAGTTGGGTCCCGGATTTTTATAGGTACTGTACTAGTTCCTGAATATTTTTTGGTAAGTACTACATTATACTAACATTTTCCTTCCCATTTTAATAGACTTAGGACTGTCTATGATCTATTTAGACCTCAGGTATGGTTAAAAATGTTTTTATAGTATTTTTTTTTTTTGTAATTTCCTTTCCATTAAAATATAAATGATAAGAATTGTGTTAGTAAAAATATTAAAATTGTATTAAAATTATCGTGTAATATTTTTATTACTTACTAATACTTTATATTATTACAAAAATTATGGAATTTTAAAAAATGTGGTCCTGTGGTCTAAATAGATCATAGACAGTTCTAATTCTGTTAAAATGGGAAGGAAAATGTTAGTAAAATGTAGTACTTACCAAAAAATATTCAGGAACTAGTATAAACCTAAAATAATTCAGGACCCAACTAGTGTAATACCTAAAATAATTCGGGACCTAACTAGTGTAGTAATTTTAAATTCGGGACACGATTCAAATGCAGCCATATAAGGGACCTGGAAACAAGAGAAAATCAGACGAGTTCTTGGTATGCGACACTGAGCATCTTCACGCCACTGTATGTCATGGTCTGGACTTAGAAGAAATTAAATAAATATTTGGACTTAGAATATTTCTAACAGTTTAAATATCAGGACTTAGAATACTTTTCATCACAGTTTTATATTAGGACTTAGAATTTTCACAGCTAAATTAATTAATTGTACTTAGAATAATTGTTAACAGCTTAATAAATCACTTTACCACAATTAACATTAATTATTTACAAGGTTTTGCACCCGAATAATTTTTTCGGGTTTCGGGTTTCGGGTGTTGAATATATTCGGATGTTCAAACACCGCAATACAACATTTAAACAAACGTTTGGGTGTTAATAACCGTTATTATTCGGGTTAATATTGGTTAATACGGGTGTTAAGTAGTCAAGGATAAATATTATTTTCCATTGGTAGGTGTGGTGAGCCCCCCTCCACTAATGAAATATTTATATTTTTTGTTACCTGTCTATGTAATAAAATATTAATTTCTTATACAATTTTGCAACAGTTTTTTAGACCAAACTATCATTATGTTATTTCAAGTAATGGTATAACTACGATTTATTTTCGGGGAAGAGGGGATTATTTTATATGTGTATGAAGCTTATAAATTATAATATCTATTAAGATTAAAAATATTATCACTATATCTTACTCCTAGTTAATGCGGGCATATCGCATGCGACAAAAAACAAATTATTTTGTATTCTGCGTTTGTGTTTGTGGCATAGGCCGAAATCGGCGGGGGGCTTGATGGGACTAATGCCCCCAAAAATATGAAGTACAGGTACATATCTACCCCCCAAGCCCTAAAAATTGTTAAGTGACTAAAAATACAATAATTATTATAATTGTAAAATGCATTTTTAATAACTGGATTAAAAAAAAATAAATATTCTGTGATAAAAATTAAATCAAATTTGTAAAATCTTACTAACTTCTTGTCATGACTTGGAACGATCGCAATTAATGTAATATTAATAATATGTAATAATACCCATATTGGTTGTTTAATTTAATTAATTAATAATATTTATTTAGAATACCTACTCCAAAAATGTTTAAGATAAGGCACCTAATTATTTTTTTTGTTTAAATTGTTGATTAAAAATGTCAAATTGCCAAACTTCGTATATTGCTTTGTTGAAATAAATAATTGCGCACTGTGGTATCTATAGGTATAATAAGCAAATAATGCTCAGCCCCCCCACAAATTTCACCAAATTTCCACTTATGGTTTGTGGTGCGTGCATAGTGTGCACTGCATACACTAAAATCGCATGCCTAACCTTTATTTAGATAAATTTAGATTAAATAACAATTTTCTATATTATTTGTGAAATTATTTCTGTGAATAATAATTTTACTATTAAACAAACAATGACAACATTGAAATAACCACAAAAATACATAAAATGATATATCACATAAAGATTGTAAAATAAAAAATTATACTGGTTTCGGGTTAAAACCAATATTTTATTCGGGTTTTGGTTAATTCGGGTGTTTAAAAGAAAAAATCACTCAAGTTATATGGGTTTTGGGTGTTTGATTTTTTAAGGGTTTTTAGAGGTGTTACGGGTTCGGGTTAATTCGGGTGCAAAGCTCTGATTATTTACAGCATAAATCTACATCTAAGCGTTGAACAGACTGAGTAAGACACTGAATTTTGATCAATCGGTTGGCACGCAACAAAATTTGCGCAGTCGATAATAAAATTAATCATTTGAACTTAGAACGGTTTCATAATAAATTAGTTATTGCATTGAAGTTGAGAGTATTTATTCATATATATTTATTCATATTCTGATTGCTAAGAAACAAAGTGTTTTTGCACATTCAG